GCTCCGCCTTACAGAAAAACAGACTATCATCAGCAAATAGCAGGTGGGACACCGAAGGACACGCACGCGTGATGCGCATCCCCGTTATCTTTCCCTGATTCTCTGCGTGATTAAGAAGGCTAACGAGCGCTTCCGTGCATAGAATAAAGATGAAAGGGGACAAGGGATCCCCCTGCCGGAGACCTCTCTCCGGGACAATATTTCCTCGTGGCTGTCCATTCATGAGTACCTTATACTTTACTGTCGTTATGCAGCGCATAATCCAAGTAATCCAGATTTCAGAGAAACCCATCTTCCTCATGGTGGCTTCAATGAAAGACCATTCCATACGATCATATGCCTTACTCATGTCTGTCTTGATAGCCATCCTCTTACTGCGCCCACTTGGTTTTGTTCTTAAAGCGTGAAATAACTCCTGGGCAATCATTATATTATCTGATATATGTCTTCCAGCAACAAAGGCTGACTGGGTTTCAGAAATCCTATCGGGAAGAACCTTTTTCAATCTTTGGCATAAGACCTTTGATATAATCTTGTAACAGACATTACAGAGACTAATGGGTCGCAGTTGACTCATCTGATTTGGCTTATCCACCTTTGGGATAAGGCATATATTAGTGTCAGTGAGTCCTGTCGGAATAGAGCCGTGAAATAAGAACTCATTAACCATACGAGTTAAATCATCCTTGACGATATCCCAAAAATTTTGATAGAACAACGCTGTCATTCCGTCAGGTCCAGGAGCTTTCTCTGGATGCATAGCAAACAAGGCTAATTTGACCTCCCACTCCGTGACTGGAGCTATGAGCCTCTCATTGTCAGCAGGTGTAATTGTAGTGGTTACTTCTGAAAGTGCTTCCTCAATATCCTCAGGGTTTGATGATTGGAAGATATGTCGAAAATAACTGGTAGCAATGGCTACCAGACCTTCCTCATCCTCCACTATGTTCCCCTCTGCATCTAAAAGTTGGGTTATCCTATTCCGCGCTCTTCGCTGCTTCGTTAAAGCATGAAAAAACTTTGTGTTTCGATCTCCCTCCCGTAACCAGAACACCCTGCACTTCTGCTTCCAGAATAACTCCTCCGCCTTAAGAGCATCAGAAAATTCTTTTAGAGCCTCCGCTATCTCCTCCGTAGTGGCATCATCATTGGAGGATAACCGATCCACTTTTTCCTTTAACTCCTCTACACTTTTCTCTGAATTCAGATTATGTTGTCTCTTCCAATCACATAACGCCCGCCTGCAGCTTACAATGTGCTCCATAATACTTGCCCCTGGTGGTAAATCTGGTGATTTCCATCCTTCGAGTATAATCTGCCTGAGTTCCTCATTCTGAAGCCAACGTTTATCAAATTTAAAGTTCTTCGATCTTCGTGGTTTCTTTTTCAGAATGTCAGCCAGGATTGGACGATGATCCGAACCCCATAACCTCAGATACTGAACTTTCGAATGAGGAAATTTCTCATGCCAGTTTTCATTCCCTACTGCCCTATCCAACCGACATCTTACAGTTGCATTTCCTGCTCTTCTTCCTACCCATGACAGCATATTCCCTGTGAAAGGGAAATCTAGCATGCCACAATCACTAAGCATCTGCTTGAAAGGTAGGAACGAACTATCCGTACGTTGTCTCCCTCCTTCCTTCTCTTCATGACAAGTGATCTCATTAAAGTCACCAATCATAAACCATGGTCCATCTTTTGTTGTTGAGAAACGCGTAAGACGTTCCCAAACTAGTTCTCTTCGTTCTACAACAGGATCCCCATAAAAAAATGTCATAAAGACTTTTATTCCATCAATGACTGCCTCAATGTCAATCATTCTATTATTCGAAAATAAAACTTTAACTTGAAAATCATCCATAAAAAATAAAGCTAAACCACCGCTAAGCCCATTTGGCTCAACGGTAAACAAACGATCAAATCCTAAGTCGGCCTGAATGTCTTGCAACAGCAGCCTCCTGTTCTTAGTTTCAGAAAGGAACACTAGTCCTGGGCGATGCTTCTGACACATCTCCGTAAGGCGTCGAACTGTGAGGTTAGTCCCAATTCCTCGACAGTTCCAACTGAGTGTCTTCATGGATGAAAGTTGGATGGGTTTTTGGACCCCATCGAACCATCCTCTTTGTGAAACTTGGATCTATCCCTCCTAGCTCTGTGACTGGAGCTCCGAGCGTTGCCTTTATCACCAGACTGTTTATTGACTGTAGAGCTTAGGACCCTCAGCCGTGGGGACCCCCTGCGTAAAACCTCTTTCTTCTTTGGAGTTCGTCTGTTCCCACTTCTTGAGCCCTTTACACTTCTTGAGCTTCGAACGGCCTCCTTATGACGTGAAGTATGTCTCTCCTTGGGAATTTCAAACTCCATTAGCTCCTCATCAAAAAGGTCATCCTCCTCGTCCAATCCTTCCCCATCTTTGGTTAAAGGTAAATCCATATCTGTCAAAGCCGCAATAACTCCTGGATCATCATTTTCAGTGTCAATAGCATGTGTGGAGAACGTCAAAGAACGCATCACACTTCGATCACGAAGCGTAACATTGGCTTGCATATCCGGAGAAGTGATCTTGCTCGCTAGTTTCTTCCGCTGTGGGATTGCATGGATCATAACCGGGTTAGCCCTTGCGCCATCCTCCCTATAACTTCTTTTCTCCGTATCAAAACTTCCCGATGCACCAACCTCCTTAGCGTATCCAGTACGGCTTCCCCCTCTAGGCGGGTTGTTTGCAGTAGCGTCATTATGGCGGTCGTCAACGTGGTCATAAGAACCATGGTGACGTTCGCTGTTGCTTGCACTTCCGATCCTCCTCGTCGCAGATTTATCGCGAGGCGCTTGACGTAACTTGTTCTCATTGCTAGATGACTGAGAGCTCCTGCTCTCTACCGGCAACTGTTCACTAGGATAACGTCTAACAGCAGACTTGTTGTTGCTCGGAAAACCTGCATCAATACCATCCTGATTCTTGTCATTACTTTCTTGCCGCAGCTCAGCTTCTTCGACATTGACATAATTCCTTGTATCCTGATCCTTAGGCTCATGCGATACACGCCCATGAAGATTGACCGGGTTACTGCCCTGGTGACGATGAGGAGAAGAAGACTTCACTCGCCATTGATACTCTTGCGGCCTATCATATGGTCGTTTTTTGTGATAGTTTGTGTCTTTCTCATATCTTCGACGCATCACTTTATCCTGATGTTTATTATACCGGCTGTCAGTTCTCTGATCCTCAGAGGTAAAGCGATCTCCTGATCCACCCTTCATTCGATCATAAGGTTGCGCAGCTGTTCTTTGATCACCTGATACGCGATGACGTATGGTGCCTCCTCTATTGCTATTCTTTGTAGCTGGTACTCGGAAATTAGAAGGTTTTGCCGAGTGTCTTGTAGTAGCTGAGCCAGTAAGCTTTAAACGTAGATCATTTCCGTTATGAGCACCATGATGTCCACTCACGCCTTTTGAGACCAAAGTATGATCAAAATTAGCAGACCTATCATTACTGCTCACTGGTTTTAAAGGGCAATGCTCTTTCTCATGAGTTAAGAATCCACAAGTAGTGCAGTGCTTGAAAAGAAGATCGTATTCGATTTTAATTGTGACAGCAGCACCTTCAGAGTTCGTAGCCATTCTCGTGAATTTCAAGGGCTTGCGTGTGTCAATGTCGATCAACATTCTCCCTTCCTCAAGCTCCAGCGTATCTACACGACCCAAAGTCTCCCCCAGGCCTCGAAGATTTTTGATCGTCCACAAGTGCAACGGCACTCCTGTGATGGTGACCCAAAAAGGAATCGTCCAAGGATAATCGTCGTGGACAATAGGCTCCCACCTCACCAGCACGAACATACAGAAATTGAAGTGAAAAGGGCCTTGACGAAGTACTTCCTTAATATCCTCCTCCGATGTAAAATTCAATAGGAATTTTCCATTACCCAAATCGTTCGCCGTAATCCGATCTTGCATACCCCACTTCCCTGGCATGTAGTTGATTAAACGTTCAACGTTTTGCTTCCTTGGGTTTAAAATCTTTCCAATTAAAGAGAGTTTGAAATCATTGAGCACAGTTGTGTCCTCCTCATCAAGAAGTCGGAATGGTTCCTCCTCATCATCATACAGAACGCCCTTGCCTTTTATATCATTCAGGCTTCCACCACCACCACCCTGCGGCCCCATCACGAGTACAAAAACAGCACAGAGAAAAACCGCAGAGACTCCTCTGTTTGCCTCTGTTTTGCAAAGAGGAAAACAGGGTACGCAGGGAAACAAAGGGTACCAGATCCAAGGGGACCTTTTGACGACTGGCTTGATGGGGAAAGCGACGGCCTGACCTTCAACGGAAGGTAAGACCCTTACCAATACTCGTGAAACAAGATCGATAACGTGAGGCCCAAGGTATTGTTTTCGACAAAGATCGTGAAACAAAACCGAGTACTCTTGTAGTGTATAAGCCAAAACACCTTTTCTCCCACCGTGATCGGAATTCTCTAAACAAAACGAGTCGAGAACAAAAACAAACTCAATCGATCCGTGATCCCGACATATGATCAAGGATGCACGTTAAGCGATCAATAAGATTGAAAGAAACAGACGCCGCCGTACTGAGCAAAGAGATCACAGGAACAAGAGGAGATGCTGTCGAAGAACAACAAATCCAGAGTGGATCGTCTCAAGGAGATAGAGAGGTGGTGTGCGCCGTCGCCATCGCCTAGGGTTTTTAGCTTTTTTTCTCTAACAGATTTTTTTTTGTGTGTGTGTGTGTGTGTGTGTGTGTGTTAATATTATGAAAGGCGGTAATGTGATTTTTATTCAACGTTTAGGTAGGTCACCTAATTATTCTTTCAAGCGAAATCAAATGTTAAAAGGACAACGCGGGAAAATACACAAAAGTTTATTTGATTTGGGCTGTAATGGGCTTGGGCCGTTTAAAACAAACAACCGTGTGCTTTTTCCTCGCTTTTGGTGAACGACGTCGTAATAGGAAACCCCAAAGTCTCTCTCGCTAAGTTGTAACAAGGAAGAAGCTTTCGTCGGCGCCTGAGACTGTTGAGAAAAAAAAACTCCGACAATGGCGTGGATGCAACTAATACAGAGCGCGAGATCTGTTCTAAGGACAACACAACCTTCCTCAACTCTAATCCCCTCTAGATTCTATTCCAAACCCGCTCCTTACGCAGGTAACCAATCGATTTCGCTTCTGTATCGATTTACTATAAATCTCCTCAGGGTCCGAATGCTAGTGAAATAATTTGTGGGTTTTTACTGGTTTCAGTTTTGATAATGAAAAGGAATCATTTTTATTACTTTTTTCACTGGTTTTAGTTTTCAGACATCTTTTGGACAACATTGTCTGGATTTGATGTTTTTTTGCAGTGAAGGTTGGGATACCTGAGTTCTTGAGTGGGATTGGTGGAGGAGTTGAGACCCACGTTGCTAAACTTGAAACTGAGTTAGGTGATCTTTCGAAACTGCTCGTGACTCGTACCCTCAAGCTCAAGAAGTTTGGCATCCCTTGCAAACATGTAAGTAAACAACTCTCTGCTCTGCTCTACCGTTTACACAGAGATTTCAATGGGCGTTGTGTTTTATTTTGTTAATATATTTATGTTAGGAATGAAGTAATCTGCTACCGTGAACTTGTTAGGTTACGTTATTTAGTGGAAGTAACTATACAAGTTAAGGAGAAAAGTTGAGTTTCTTGAACTTTTCAGGCACAAAGAGACTGATAAAGATGTATAGTTCTATTGTCCACAGTTTCTGTCACTCACTAAGACATCTCTCTTTTCATATAAATGTTGATAGGTTTATTGAACAACACATCAAATCTTTTGATTTGCTTACTTCAAATTCTTCATATTAGCTTATATTTGGCTTGATCATGATTTTTTTTTATCATATTTTTGGGACAAATTTTTTTTTTTTTTTTGCAGAGGAAGCTGATACTGAAGTATAGCCATAAATACAGGCTAGGGCTATGGAAACCTAGAGCTGACGCTATAAAGGCATGATTGGATCGTATTGTGAGTCTCTGTAATGCGTGTGGTTTCGCTACTGAAATGAGTTGTTCTCAGAATGATCTTAGGCATAGCAATGTTGCCAATCACTTGAAACTCAGTACTTATTTTTCTGCATTCATGTACTTGTTATCTCCATGAGTCTAGAAACAATAAAGCCATGCTTGAAAATCCTAAAGCAGTATGTTTTTGAAGTGGTGGATGTATTTTATTTTGGGCCTCTCCCTGTATCAAGACTGCCTTCAAAGTTCCTTATGCTCAGTTTCATTCTACTACTAAATCGCCTGATAGATCATGAAAATACTGAAAGGATGTCCACAAGGTTACATGATCAGAGAGTCCGGTCTTGTGTTTTTCGTTCAAGTTATGATTTCGTTGAGCTCACGGATCTAAATTTAACCGCATAAACTTTCGGTTCTTGGGGCTCACAAATTGATTGGTGTCCCAGTTGTTGAGAACCAAACTATTGTCCAGTTTTGACTTCGTGGCCAACCACTGGTCCTTTATCAGTTTTGGGCTCATTCCATCTACCAAGCGTCTTAGGCATATTTTACAAGTCGTTTATCATATCCACCAATCTAATCTTTTGAGTTAGGATTCCTGAACTTTCTTATCAAACAAAAAAAAAAGTAACAAAAGATATCAATTTATTTTTATTTTCTCTCCACTTAAAGAAAGAGACTGTATTTACTAAAGTTGGTTCAGTCATATCTTCCCACATAATATTTTTTTAGATTGTACTAAATTTATTAATTGTTATAACATAATTAACCAAATAATCGAACGTGATAAGAATTTTAATTATAGTAATACTAGGGAAAATCCGTCGTACGGACGGGTAAGTGAATAAATAAATATATAAAAATTATATAATTCTGAAATAATATTTGTAATATAAATATAATTTTTCAATATCAATTTTTTATTTTAAAGATACTATATGTATATTCACCACTAAAAAAATCATGAAAAGGTAATATTTTTACATATTTTACATATTTATTTTAATCTTAATTCTGATAGTAAATATCTATTTTTTAGAAATTTGTGGTATATGAGTTAAATTCACAAAATATAATATCTGGTGCCACTTAGATTTTGATTAAAGTTTTTGAGCTGAAACGACGGTAAGATTAATGACGGTAGGCCAAATGAAATTCACAGAATATAATACATGGTGCCATTTATGGTATATATGTTGAGATGGCCGGTTCATCTATGGTTGCCTGAAACTCTTAAAAATTAATACAGAGATCTTAAAAAGACAATACATGGTTTTTATATTCAATCAAAGTAGATGACTAAGACTATGTCGATCACTCTTCTTTTTCATCATCTTTGTCCCCTTCTCCTAAACCACATATCAGTTTCTCTTCTTTTTTAATAGAGTATGAATTTTGAGTCCATAACGGTAATGTTTCTTTAAAGTTATAAAAGTAATTTTTGTGTGTTTATTCTTCTATATTTTATTCAGGTTGTTGGTTCATAATTCTCAACGTGATGTGTGGTACATATGGGGGTCAGAAGGTTCCTTCCATCTTCATAAGGCTACATTTTCAAACTTCAGTTTGATAATTTAGATCATTGACATCATGCCAAGTTATTATTTTCTGTTTAATTTTTGAATTGAGTACTATGGAAGAAGTATCATACATTTAGTATGAATAAGAAGAAAGGTTTGATTTTTTGTGTGTGATGTTACTTTATCTTCCGCATGATCTTTGTCAAGAAGGACCGGCTATTTAAAATGCCACATGACAGAAATGTTACGCTGCTCCCACTCAGTTAACGCCTTTCAATGTCGTTTCGCTAAGAGTCACTGTCGACCTTCTTCTGATGATGGGAGCTGGATGAAACGACATTAGATATCATATAGCTGTGGAACTTAAGAGAGTCTTATCTCCGAGTCATTTTCGTAAAGTTTGACTATAACATCATCATTCTCCACCCATGCCTCATCTTGCTTATGGGTTTGAAGCCGGCGGTTTTTTTAGTCAGAAGATGCATCAAAGCTTTGAAGCTAACTTTTCATTCTAGCTATAAGAACTCTGGGCACAGCAGTAGTGTATGATTGTAGCCAAAACGTTCTGAGATTTCAAACCAATACTATGGAAAAGCGTGGTTAAGAGTATAACACAAAGCACCTGTTTTCAGTCCTTTCTCTTCCTTAGTTAATAGGTGTGATTTTGACTCAGCTATAAGAAGTTTTAAGTGCCACGGTTCAGACTCTGCAGTGTGAAGAACATAAGTGAATTGTTTGTTCAACCACAATGGACAAACACCAAGAACAAACATAAACAAATCTAAGAGCAATCCAGAAATCAAATCAAAGAACAATGTCAACTCTTCCAAAGCCCTAAGCTAAGAGAGGAAGCAAATCATAGAGATCAATTCTTACTGAGTTTTTTTAATCTTCTTTATTGGAACCTCCAAGACATCAGAATTGTTGTCTGCAAGAAATGCAAACCAACAACAAATCAATAATCGAAACTCACCTTTAACTAAAACAAAATTCAATAGCTGAACACATTGGTAATCAAAAAGTTGCTAAAACAGCCGACTTTCAAGTCAGAAAAGGAGAGAGAGGAGTTCCCCATTCTGCTCAAAGTAAGATGTAAGTTTTTTTTATGATTGTGAGGAATGAAAGGATGAAGCTTTATAGTATCAGAAATCATCTATTTATAGATTCAGATTCACCGACTGAAAGAAGAGTAGATGCAATGAATGATAAATTGTGAGTGGGGGGGGGGGGGAAGGAGTTTAAAAAGTCGTTAATGATGACGATTGAACAGACCGTAACGGTTCAGGTTTCCCATTTTCCGGTGTGAAGAACTCCAGCGGAATCGACACGAACGATGGATTAGACCAGAGACTGCCGTGATTAATCGGTCGTAATTTAGTCAAAACGTCATGGTCGGTTTTAAAAATAAAAAAATTGCAGAATGTGAAGAACCTTAGAAATAGTTGAAGATAGAGACTGATGTTTTTGGCTGAGACTACTACTATTGGGCTGATGTCTGCTACCAGCCCATTCGAAGAAACATGGAATGTCCAAAACAAATGATCAAATTGTTTTTAAAGCCCATAATGACATGTTTGAGAAGGAAAACATTGTGTGACACGTGGCATGCTCTGAACAACCTATTTATCTAGGTGGCTTCACAAGAGGGAAGCAAAGTCTTCTTTATATAATTAGATTTTAAATATAGAAAGATAAAAATATATATTACTAGGATCAGTCCGCACTTCGCGCGGAATTTAATATTTTTTAATTGATTATGTTGATATTTATTTTTAGTTTTAAGATTTTTGTTATATATTATGTTTTACTTACTCATTATTTCGAAGAAATGTTTGTTTATATAAGATATTAGAAAATTGAGTGCCAAAATTGAACATGTCAGGCCTTATTATTTTCCAAACTATTTTTGATTTTTTTTGTATTGATTGTGCAACAATTGTTAGTTGTAAGAACTTCATGAAATTCACTTTTTTCGTCAGCAAGAGTTTGAGAAAACATGAAAACAATATCGTAAAAATATTTTTATTTTTTTAAAAATTTTCTAATAACTTTTTGAAACTTTTTTATATTTGATTATATATTTTTGCGGTATTATTTTTTGGTGGCTAAGTTTTCACCAAACTTGAGTTATATTGTGTATTATAACTAAAATTGTATTGTTTTATTATATGTTGTTATTTTCTTAATTTTCAAACTGTTATATTTTAAAATCTTTTTCTAATTATGTAATAAATTTTTGGTTTTAACTTTTCACTTTATTTCCTAATTTCTCTAATATTTAGTTTGGTGACCAAAAAATGGAATGAAATTCTCTAAGTTAATTATTTTTAAAAATAAACTAATAATCACAAAGGATTTATAGGTTACTAAATGCTTTATTATTAGATGTGATCTAAATGGTAAATGATTAAAAAGAGATTATTCTTAATTTTTAAAACTTGTGATAATGTGCCAAAACCTTGTGTAATGCTTGCAAGATGGAGGGCTAAATAAATGGTAGATTTCCTCTATATACAAGAAAAAAAAGAAAAAAAAATCACATATCAATTCTTATACATTTCTTTGTAAATGTTATTACCAGTTTTCAATTATTTACTTTCAAAAAGTCCTTCCAGATTTTGAACGCTAGATTCCTCCTACAACATTACATATACATGCTTACATTAAATGTTTTGCATACCACTAGTTTACCTACATACCGTACCACATGAGCTTGTTGATCACAAACATAAGCTTCTTCTTTGCCTTATCTTCAGTCACTACAACGATGTCTGAACCACAACAACCACCAAAGATACGAACAGCGCCAAGCTGTTGAATATAAAGAATAGCAAGAAGCTATCCTAGCTTCTCCTAACACCAATGGTCCTTTTGTTATGTCCTCTTCATATTGTCCAGGTATAGTGAAGATGACTGCAAATGCATCTGTTGCTATTAGGACAGCTACAACTGTTGCTGAGTTTATAGTGTTGTTCAGGCCGTTAATGTGAAGTTTCTTGAGTCTCTTTGCTATCCTCTGAACTTTAGCATATGTTTGGCGAGACTGTTGGAGTTGAGACTGTACCTCGTGTCTGATGTCGCTCACCGTTTGCTTAAGCTGTTTAGTTGGGTTCTAGGGCTTCCCAAGATCTTTAGCTGTAGCAGCTCCTGCTTTCTACAAAGCCAACACAAGCTCTGCTTTTCCAATCTTTTCAGCTATATCAAGTGCAGTATCTCCCGCCTTGATCAGAGCATTGAGGTTAATCCCATCAAACAATACCAAACACCTCCTTATCTACAAAGCAAAGACAAAAAAATCAATTACTAAGAAGAAACTCATGTATATTTGAGAAACTCAACGATGATGACGTTACCTTAGTACGACTCTTCTTTATAGCAATATGCAATGGTGTGTTTCCTTTATTATCGTCAAAACTCAAAAATTTAGGATCAGGCCTCACCAGCTCAAGAACAATCCCTTTTTGTTTACCCTTGACAGTCAGGTGAAGCACTGTTTGTCCCTTTTTATTAGTACCAAACCCAATGATTGCATCGTTACCTATCAATGACTTAACAACTTCAACATGTCCCATCCGAACTGCAGAATGAAGAGGGGTTTTACCTTTGTTTTTAGCTATCTTAGCTATATGAAAATCCGTCTTTAAAAGAAGATTCACAACATCAATGTGTCCTTGTTTAGCAGCCGTGTGTAATACTTGTACACAACAAATCAGTTGTCATGGCCAAGTTCGGAAAGTCT